CCTCGGAGGTAATTGGCACAGAAACACAACTCCTCCTGGCACCCCGACTACCAGTGCTGGGGTGGATGTTCAGAGGAGAGGTTCCCTCCACCCACCATGCCACGAGAGCTACATGAAGCAAGTGGATTGTTCTCATCATGCAGCGTGCCCATATTGGTAAACTGCATCTCCCTGGCATTTTGGAAATAATTACAAATTGGCCCGAAGGTGAAAGTTTTGGTGTCACAGATGAAGAAGAAGAACCAGTGACACAGGCTGAAGAAGCTCCACCATACAACCAACTACCAGCAGAGGAAACACGCTACGCTCTCTTCACTGATGGTTCCTGTCACATTGTAGGGATCAATCGCAAGTGGGAAGCAGCTGTATGGAGTCCCACATGATGGGTTGCAGAGGCCACTGAAGGAGAAGGTGGATCAAGCCAGCTTGCTGAACTCAAAGCCGCTCAACTGGCCCTAGACATTGCAGAAAAGGAGAAGTGGCCAAAGCTCTACCTCTACACGGACTCATGGATGGTAGCCAGTGCTCTGTGGGGGTGGCTGGAGAGGTGGAAAGAGGCTAACTGGCAGTGTAGAGGAAAACCAATTTGGGCTGCTGAAGAGTGGAAAGATATCGCTACCCAGGTAGAGAAGTTACCTGTGAAGGTTCACCACGTAGATGCCCATGTCCCCAGAAGTAGAGCTAATGAAGAGCAGCAAAACAATCAGCAGGTAGATCAGGCTGCAAAGATTAGGGTGTCAAAGATAGACCTTGATTTGGAACACAGGGGAGAGTTGTTCCTAGCACGATGGGCTCATGATGCCTCAGGCCATCAGGGCAGAGATGCCACCTAAAAGTGGGCACGAGACCGAGGGGTGGATCTAACCATGGACAGTGTTTCCCAGGTTATCCATGACTGTGAGACCTGTGCTGCCATCAAACAGGCCAAGAGAGTGAAGCCCCTATGGTATGGTGGGCGGTGGTCCAAGTACAAGTATGGGGAGGCCTGGCAGATTGACCACATCACACTGCCCCAGACACACCACAGCAAGCGCTACGTGCTGACCATGGTGGAAGCCACCACTGGATGGTTGGAAAGCTACCCTGTGTCTCATGCTACAGCCCGTAACACCATCCTGGGCCTTGAAAAGCAGGTCCTTTGGAGGCATGGTACCCCTGAGAGGATTGAGTCAGACCATGGGACTCATTTCAAGAACAGCCTTATCAACACCTGGGCTAGGGAACATGGCATTGAGTGGGTGTGCCACATCCCAAACCATGCACCAGCTGCAGGCAAAGTGGAGAGGTACAATGGACTGTTAAAAACCACCTTGAAAGCATTGGGTGGGGGATTTTTCAAAAATTGGGAGCAATGTGAGAAGGGATCACTTGCTCCAGCACGGTGTGGGTGGAGGGAGGCAGAGATCTCTGAAGCTTGCTCTCGGGGAAAGAGGTTTATTGGGGGTCCAGGAATGCCCGAGCCTCGTGCTCTCAGGCGTAGCACGTGGCCAGGCTTAAGAGGACAGGGGAGGGGAGAGACAAAAGTGGGGTTTAAGAGAGGGGAAGCCCTAGGAGGGGAGGAAGTCCAAGAGAGGGGGAGAGGTCCAAGAGGGGGAAGAGGTTCAAAGGGGGGGAGAAAGTCCAAGAGGCCGCATGGCCGCTCGGAGCCCCCTTATCAGGAGCTCCCAGGTGGGCTGGGACAAGTCATGGGCCAATGGGGTTACAGACTCTGATGTTTTAGGGGCAGGTACAGAGGTGCGGGATGAGCCACAATCTTTTGGGGGGTGGGATGGAACCGTCCATTTCACTCCAGGATTCATCCAAGGGCAGAAGTGACATCCGGCTAGCTGAGAGAACAATCCTGTCTATCTATCCTCTGCAACATTTAGCAAAGGCCACGTGGTTAGTTAACAGCCAAGGTTCCACCAATCGAGCAGGTCCTGCCTGGTCTGAGCCCCTGAATATAGCAGATGGAGATAAAGTCCCAGTGGCACATGTCAGGTGTTTGTTAGGGAAATCAGTGTGGATCAATTCTGCCTCGAGTACAGACAAACCCATTTGTGGGATTGTCTTTGCTCAGGGACCAGGTTGTACATGGTGGATAATGCAGAGAGATGGAGGAACACGATGTATACTTCAGGGAGATCTGATTGTGGGGTGAGACTCATGTGCAAATATCACTGTTTGCTGGATGTTGCTGCCAGTGTCTCTACATGAGACAGAAGGAAATGTGTAAGTGTCGAAGGTTTGAGTAAGTGACATGGAAGAAAATGTGTATGAGTAAGTGAAAGATCAAAGTTTTTACTTGATGAAGTTTTTACCTGATATTTCATAGCATGTTGACGATATGGAGATAAGGGGTGGAATGTCCTAGGGTGATGTTATGGTGCTTGTATCCCCAGTTGTGTGTTCTGTTGATGTTTGATATTCTGTTCTGTGCTTTCAGAACTGACTCTGAAAGTGAAGGTTTGTTTTGTCTTGTTATCAGCCGGCTCACCTCCCCCCATGGTCTGTTGTCTAGAAGAGGCCAGTGCTGGCTGGATTGCTTTTGCTTGCTTGCTCCTGCTCCTGCTCCTGCTCCTGCTCCTGCTCCTGCTCCTGCTTTTGCCTTTGGTTTTTCTTTGTTAGTTAGTTTAGCTAAGCAGTCCAATTATTTCCCTGGACTGTTTTTTTTTCCTTTCCCTTTCCTGAATATCACTCCAACCTGCTCTGGACTGGGACTGGGAAACACCAAGGAACACTGAGAGCCTGCAGCAGCCATCCCCAGTGCTGGAAACCAATCCCCAGCAGCCAGAACTGGGCAATCGTTCCCAAGAGAGACTTTCTGGATTTGTCATCTCTTCAGAATGGTGAAAGTTCTATTGTCATCTGGTGTTGTTCATTTTTTGGAGCTGGGGAGTGTTTTGTTTGTTAAATAAGCAGGTTATTTTCCACTTCTCTCATAGGAAATTCTTCCTGAACCAGGTGGGGGAGGAGGGGTCTTGGGGGTTTGTTTTCTGCAGGCCCCTTCCAGAGGTTTTGTCCTAAATTTGCCCTAAACCAGGACATTGTCACAAAGAGAGGGAGATGTGGGAATCCAGGACATCCCTCTAACTGCCCTGACTGTCTCGAGACCCTGGCAGGGGGCTGAGAGACCTTGGCACAAAGTCAAAAACACCTGTGGCTTCAGTTTTAGCCAGTGGGAAAAGCTGCCAACTTTGTATGAGAAATTACAAGCCAAAAGGGTTTGAGTAGTGTAATAGTTGAATTAACACAAGGTGAAAAAGTAGAATTTTGGGGTTTTTAAAATAAAGGGTTCAGGGACAAGATGGAGGGATTTGGGTGTGTCCTGACCTTCTTCTCCTTCTTCTTGTCCTCCATGTCTTGGTGTGATGGTGACATTTTTCTATTGGTTTAAGGTAGAGACACACTGTCTAATATAAATGATACATATTGGCATATTATTGTAAATATACCACACGTAACTTTTAGTATAAAATGTGCACCCTTCCCCAGGCAGGAGGAAAAATGCCATGACCATCTTAATAAATGGAGCTCAGCAGGTCAGAGAAAGAATGTTACAGATAAGGAAAAATAAACAACCTTGAGAAGCCAACCCTACACATTCCAGACTTCTTTGGCTGCGAGGGCTGGGAGAAAGAGGACTTTTACAATCTTGGGGTCATCTCGACACCACAGAGACACACCCTGAGATGAAACAGGTATTCATAAGGGAGCCAGGGTCCCTTTTTCTCTGGGAGTGGCTTTTAATGAGTGTCAGAGAGAGGTTTGTCCACAGGGAGAGAATGCAGGAGCACTGTTAGGAAAATAGGGCCTTTTTGTTCATAATATAGAGTTTTCTCACATCCATAGAATAGAGTTTTTACTTAGAGTTTTCACTTGTCTGAATATGTTCTCATTTTGCCAGGCATTCCAGTAAGTATCTCTCAAGGACAATTCCGTTACAAACTTTTTAGGGAGTTAAAACTGTTTTAGGGAGTTGATGTTGCTAGGCACCTAAGCACCTGAGCGAGTATCTTTCAAGGACAGTTCCGTTACGGGCTTAGCAAAACATGTACTCTTGTGAAATGCAAGTAAACGTGCCTAGAGATAACATTTCTTGTTTTGAGAAAATCCCCAGATCACAGGGACAACCTCGAGGAAGACTACTGGCCTTCATCCCACGACCACCAAGAGGCAGAAAACGACCACCTAGCAACAGAGTGCGCCTGCGCAGAAAAGACACCAGAACGTCACACATCCGGAAGAGGAGACCCAATAAGTGGGGGGGGACGGGGGACGAAGGCGCGGTAGTTGGAATGACTGCCGCCCAGCGCAGCGCTAATTTGCTTTCGTTTTCTACCATTAATAAATCTTTTTAATTGGATTAGAAAGCCTATTGTGCTCGTTCATAACAATTTGGTGCCGTGACTCGGATCGGGGATCTGGGGAACCTCTCTCTGAGAGGGGCACCACGATTCTGCTCCTTTGAGCGGACTCAGACCGGGGTTTTTACCCTCATCCCGACCGACGAACCTAAAAGCCTAGAGAGCGAGAGCAAAGAGAGGGAAGCGGGCCCAGGGTACCCCGTAATTTTGTGCACAAAGTCCGGACGAAGACGCAGGACGCGTAAGTATAGAGGGATCCGTCCGGGCGGGGTTCGGGATCCCGGAGTACGGCGAGTGCGTGTGTGAATGAGAGGAGAACCGGCAGCCAGATTCTCCAAGCGAGTGTGGACCCTCAGTAGTGCGTTTTCCAGAGCCCGCGAGGGCCTGGGCCACGAACCAGGGGAAGCGATTGTGCTGCCGTGAGTGATTGAAGGTACTCCGGAGGACATGGGGCAGGGGAG